AGGAATGGGACTTGATCATGCTTGCAAGGAGAGTGAACCTTCAGCTAAGGGCAAGCTGAATTTTCTGACTTAATGTAAAACCAGAGAAGTTTTTCAAAACCCTTTTCAGTAGCCCCCTCCTTACTACATCCCCAAATTAACCTCTTGTCTCTTGCTCCAACTAGGAGGATGATGACTTGAAGGATGGGGTAGAGCTTCTGCTGGAGATGTTCCCAGCCTGTACTGTGAGCCAGGCAGAGAAGGCACTTGGCATGGCATTGGGGAACTTGGAGGAGGCAGTGCAGTTAATTGTGGAGGAGAAAGTGGAAATTGGTCCAGCAGGTGTGAGTGTGAAGGTACTGTACTCTGAGCTGGGTGGCAGTGGGCTGAGGAACAGAGCTCATGGACACACACAGGTCCTGGCTATCTGTTGCAAGCAGAAGCTTTGAGCACAGGAACTTTGTGTGTGAGCCAGGGGGATCACCCAGAGCAACACCCCTCTCTCTCCCTTGGCTGAGTGCAGGCTGTGCCCACAGCCAGGTCAGCACCCCTGCAGAGCTGTTGCTGGCACCCTGCTTTCCACAGGGGCTGGAACGTTGCACCAGCAGCTGGGCTCACCAAGCTAGCAGGGGGGAAGCTGTACCCACCATGTCTTGTGCTACTCACCCGTCTGCCTTGTCTCCTTCCAGGAACTGGCACGGCCCCGGAGAGCACCCAACCATGAGGAACTAAAACAGGTTATTCTACAAAAGTAAGTACCCAGCAGCAAAGAACCCCTTATTCTGCTCCCAGTAAAGGTGGAGGTGGCAGTTTGGGGAAGATCTGCATGACAGTGTGGTCTATAAAGAGCCTGGGATGTACAATGCTTAGAAAGGATGCCATGAATCTGATTTGGGTATAGCAGAGCACATCTAAGCACAAAGACAGTCATCAGGAGGGAAAAAACAGGTCTGGGTTTCTTTCAGAGCTCTGGCACTGCTCTAGGAACAGGCTACCTGCACCAGCTGGGTCACAGCACTGGCTTTGTGAGGTTTCAGCCTCCTACTGGTATAGGTAAGTCACAGTAGTGTCAGCTGAGGTCCCAGTTAAAGGTTCAAGGCACAGGCATAATGCTGCAGCTCAGGTAACATGGTGACCTGTATAACTACAGCAACTCATTCATACCTTCATCCTTGGAGACAATCCAAACAAGACTAAAGATACTTTTAAGAGACTGCCTGTACAGCAGCACTGGGAAGATTATATCTCAGCTGCTGAAGGTGTGAACTCACTATATTTAAAGAAACCTCTCTGAAGCCCCCCCTACTAACTTCTTGTGAATGAAAATGGCTTTAGATTGGTTTACCTTTATTCATTTCCAAAAGCATTTAATTCTCAATAGTAGCCACGCTGTGGTTTCATTGATCTGCTTTAAGATCTCAGCTTTCATGAGTGTCCTCCTGCAGGCATGCAGATTCCACGTGTTTATCCAGCCACATCTTCTCCACCACTTTACATGCACAGTGACAAACAGCCAACAGGCTAGGGAAAATGAAGCCAGGCAGAGTGGCATCCAGGCAGAATTAGCAACCCCTGTCTTTGCCCATCCTCTGTGCAGGCCAGTTCCAGAGTAACATGTAAAGGAACAAAAAAGTACCAGCTGCTAGTTATGTTTCTGGGAACTTCACTTTAATGACATTTTGGCAACATCCTGTACTTTTAACATCACTCAAATACAGGTATGGAGAGCAGATCACCATAGCTGAAGATACACAGAAGCAACTAGACTAACTACAGAGGGAGAAGTCATGGTCAGCTGTGATGTCCACGTGCTAAACCAGCACCAAAGTCTCAAAAGTAGTAACTCAGCAGTATAGCAAGCAAATGCTTGGGCCCTGATGTTTTGGTCACACAGGGAATGAGGTGATGCTATTATGAAGTTGTTTCCAGCACAGACCTGTTTAATAGTCAGGTAGTAAGTGGAATGTGAAAGGAACACCATCTCTTCAGGGCTCAAGCAGACAGGTTGGTCCTTTGGCTGCCACTACTCAGGCTGAGAAGGAGTAAGGCTCCTCAATGGCAGAGCACACCAGACCTCAGCACCTCTCTCAGCTCTGCTCAGGCTATTAGCATTCTCAACAGTTTTCAGTACCTTTCAGATACAGCCAAGGATGCTAGTCCAGGAGAATCCTGCTGGATTTTAACCAGAAGGATGACACACTTCTTACTTCTTGCCCTTTTCATCCAAAGGGGAATGTTAAGTGCTCCTAGCTGCAATCTAGGCAAGTAGGACACATTGCACAGCCATAAACCAGCCGGGGAGAAAGGACATAGGCTGTGAATAGCCCCAGGCAATGCATGTTAAGAGTCCTCTGATTGCTTCTTATGTTCCAGGTACATGATGGTGGATAGTGCAGACGACCAGAAAACACATCGGCCAGCTCCACCCAAAGAGGTAAGAAAAGCAGTCCCAGCTCACCAGCAGCTTGAATGTCCTTTGGCTACAAGGTTTAAAATTCAGGTTGTAAGTCCGAAAAGCAAAGGAGCAGGCCAGAGGCAGGACCATTCACAAGACCCACTAGTCAGCAAGGAGGAAAGGTTAGCTTAGCTAAGCTGCTGCAGGATCTGTTGGTTCCTACCATTCTTGACTAGCATTGCTCCTGCTCCCCTCCATCAGACAGCTTCTTCCACTGTTTTTGCGAAGATTACCAACACAAAGAATAGGTAAAGCAGCCCACCTCAGTCTTTCTGCACCTGACCCCCAGAGCTTGTCCCTTCCCTTTCCCTATCAGTGTGGCTGCCTGTCCACTTGGTGTTAATGTCTCTCCTCTCCAGGCTCCCAAGAAGTTGATACGCTATATTGATAACCAGGTGGTGAGTACGAAGGGAGAGAGGTACAAAGACATCAAGAAGCCTGAGAGTGAGGAGATGAAAAGAACCTACATCAGCCTCAAACCAGCCAGAAAATACAAGTTCCACTGACAGCCAGGCCATCCTGCTCTTCAGCCTTCATCTCACCATCCAGGCATTCCAGGATGGACACCTGGCACTAGGGATGAGGGGACTCCTCCACCTGCCACTAACTGGAACTAACGTGGGAGCCAGCATACTGCTTCAGCTTCCTCAGCTAACCTGGCTGACAAGGAGGAGCCTGCTCTCCTTGTGTAGCTGTCCCTCTGCCCCCAGGGGCACACCACAGTGGCTCTCTGGGGCCTGGGCATTCTCTGCTATTCCTTGCATGGGACATTTTTAGATCTAAGATGTAGCTTGTGCTTTTACAGCAAGCTTTTTAAAAGTCTGTGTGCACTGTTGCTTTAAATTGAGTGCCAGTGTTAATAAAAATGATGTGAGTTGGTGTGTAGTTCAGCCAGAGCATGCACATGCTTTTAGGACATTGCCTCCAATCCCTCCCAGAGCCAAAGATAGGAGCAGGGTCATCCTCTCTTCCCACAGTTATTCCTTTCATTGTGTTCATCACAAGATGTGGCTGTTATTTGGTTAATCACCTAGTATATATAAGGGCTGAAACTGAACTCCAGACTAGAGCTAGGCTCTCCATGCCAACAGGACCGGCAGCACTCCATAAACTCCAGCTGACAGCATGGTCAGGGCTCCTGCCATTTCTCACCACTGTTGAGTGCCAAAGCTCCAGCCTAACGACACAGAGCAGGATACAGCAGCAGCCCTGGGAGCAACTGAAACGATATAAGCTGGAAGAAACAAATGGCAACGACCAACTGCTTTCAGTGACAGCACAGCTAGGTTTGGCCTGTTTCTGTCACTGAAACTGTAGTTAGGAGCCTGGTCCCCCTGAAAACAATTCTCACCTTGTGTCAGGCTAAACCAGTGCCCTAGGCCTGGAAAGACACAGTGCCTGCAGTGGGACCCTGCCAGCCCTTTGGTGCCAGGCTGACCAGTGGCTGCAGGCTGGAGCTGGGTTCACTGCCCTCCTCCTGGAGCCAGAGGGGCCTGCCCTCTCCCAGGAGGAGGGCTGGTGGCTTTTCTCCTTTATGCACCAGCTGGCCTGCTTCATTCCACAACACTGCTGGCATGCCCTGCACACCCATCCCAGAAGACAGTCCCCATCAAACACTCTCCTGCTCTCTGGACAGCTGCCGCTTAGAGATTTAAAATACAACAAATAATAAATCCTATCTATTAGCTGGCCTGGCCAAGGCCTGTTCAGCACCGCGGTGTTCCTGCAAGTCACTTGCTCTCTCCACGCCACTGCAGAGGGAGTTACTTTCCCTGAAGGCACCAATGAAGCCCACTCATTAACACCCTGGGGCTGTTTAGCAGCCAC